GTTGATCGACCAGTGCTACTTAACTGCTTAATAGGATACTCAGACTAATTAGGTTTATATTTTTTTACATTATGTATTAAAAATATCCCAAATCATTGTGAGATTTGCCGTTTGGATCGATTACTTAGTGCATTTGAACTCCACGTAATAGAAACATATTTAACCTGGAATATAGACTTTTTTGTTCTAAAACGAAGCGATATAGACCAAAATATTCTAAAAAATAATGAAAAGTGACAAACGCTATACATTTTTTACCTTAAAATGAAATGTCAAAATACTTTAAAAAAGAATAAATACAAAAGTGATTATTTAATTAATTGTTAAGAATTTTTTTAACATTGAACCTTTAAATATCAACAGAAAATATCAATCATTGACATAAAAAGAGAGAGCAAACCGTCCAAAATCAGATTGAATTAAATTATTCAAAGTGTGTTGATTTTATCCGTACACCCCTAATTCATATGATCATGTTAAACATTTGATCAATTGGTTTTTAAATCTTTCAACATCCTTGGAGATTACCAACAAATGTTGAATGCAATGACAAAGTACATCACATCCCCAAAGAAGACTCAAATTCAAAATTTAAAAACAACATTCAAACATGAATCATAACAAAAACAACCAGAAGCTGCAAACAAATCTAAAACCTTTGCATACAGTACATGTCATCACGGTACAATCTGATAGATAGTGTCCATAATCATTAGAATTGTCGGAAAAACTTGTTTATTTAGGTGGTCACAATGTTTAGCATTAAAAACATGCAAGTTATATGACACTGTCTTGAAAATGTTCAACACAACAAGTGGAATCACCATGAAAACAAGAGGAAAGTACAATCTCTATATACACGCCAGCCAGTCCTTTGTTAATGTTGTTGTCATCGATTGAACATACCCCTGACTGCGCTTCCACCCAAGGATCAGCCACCAACGAACCCCAATCACGATTTAAACCCAACAAACGACAAAGTACAATTGCGACATTTGCATCTTACGGGACTCGATGGCGCGAGAGACGACAAGGATGACGACGATCGAAAATGGAGATGGTAATAACAACGTCAGTGACAGTGGTCATTACCGACAAAGGAGATGGTAAGGTTAGGGTTAGAGATTTTATGGTTGATTTGAGACATTTTTAGGGATTTTTTTTTTTTTTTTTTAGAAAAAAATTATTTTTTAAATATAATAATACTTTTAAATTTTTAAAGTTCAAAGTTAACAGAACGTGACACGTGTTACTTAACGGGATTTTTATCACTATTACAATTGGGACACAAAACAAAACAGATAGTTTAGGTACTAAATGTGTAGTTTACCCTAAATGTTATTATTTTAAGTGTCTCATCGATCGTTAGAAAAATTTGTTAAGTGACAAATGTTAGACCTTGGTAATTTAAAAAAATTATTTAAAAAAATCATAAAAATATAATTTATTTTAAAAAAAATTCAAAATTTTCTCAAATCTTAAAAAGATCTCAAAACTTTAAAAACCCCAATTCCAATCTCTATATACATGCCAGCCACAACCCTTTGTTAATTTTGTTGTCATCGATTGAACATACCCTTAACTGCGCTTCCACCAAGGATCAGCCACCAACGAACCCCAATCATGATTTAAACCCAAGAAACGACAAAGTACAATTGCGACATTTGAAACTTACGGACTCGATGACGCGAGAGACGACAAGGATGACGACGATAGAAAATGGAGATGGTAATAGCAACGTCAGTGACAGTGGTCATTACCGACAAAGGAGATGGTAAGGTTAGGGTTAGAGATTTTATGGTTGATTTGAGACATTTTTAGGGATTTTAGTTTTTTTTATTTAGAAAAAAATTATTTTTTAAATATAATAATATTTTTAAATTTTTAAAGTTCAAAGTTAACAAAACGTGACACGTGTTACTTAACGGATTTTTTATCACTATTACAATTGGGACACTTAAAATGATAACATTTGTAAAGTTAAGAATCTTGATTGATCGAAAAAAATTTAGACACCTAAACAGAAAAAAAAATGAGTACAATTTAGGATTTTTATACTAAACATGATATATTTTATATTTTTAATTTGATTAAAAATTAAAAAATTGAGAATAATTTTAATAAATTCCAAGGTTGATCTCACCACGCATAATCACTTTCTTTGGTTTCATCATCCTTTCCATTTACTATAAAAAGTAAGGTAAAGTATACAAATAGTCTCTCAATTATAAGATACTATTTTGTTGAGTCCATCGACTATTAGAAGTTACAAAATAGTCTCTCGATTATAGGATGTTACTTTGTTGAGTCTCTCATTATTAAAAGTTACAAAATAATCACCATGCTATTCATTATGTTCCAAACTCTTCCGTTTCCGTTAAAAAATTAACGGTCATCTAAGTTGGACGTTAACATGTTAACTGAGATATGATAGACGTTTGAGATTATGAGATCAAATTTTATTATATCTCAGTCAGCATGTTAACATTCAACTTAGACTATCATCAATATTTTTAGCAGAAAAGGAATAGTTTGAAACATAATGAATAGTCGGGTGACCATTTTGTAACTTTTAATAGTTGGATGATTGAACAAAGTAACTTTTATAATTAATGATGATTTTGTAACTTCTAATAGTTAAATAATTCAATAAAATAATCATCTATAATCTATAAACTTTTGTGTACTTAACTCTAAAAAAATACGGAAAGTAATATAAATGGATGAAAGAATTGATGACCGATTGTTAGACCATTAACCATATTCATTAATTTTGTCCAATGAAATAAACTTACGTTAGAGAGAAAATAAAGAACAGAATTAATAAGTAATATGTTATAATGTCTTTCTCTCAATCATTCGAATATTAGTAATAAAATAATGCAAATAAGCCTTCATCTTAGCACATGGAAAGATGCTTAAGATTACCTTCATCATTTTCAGAATAAATTATTTTTAGAGTTAATTACATTATATGTCCTCAAATTATGATACTCATTCTAAGTTAGTCCCTAAACTTTTAAGTATTCCAATCTCATCCTTAAAATATGATTGTCATTCTAAATTAACCCTCAAGCTTTTGAACATTTTAATTCCATCCCCAAACTATGACCTTCATTCTAAATTAATCCCTAAACTTTTTGAACATTTCAATTCCACCCTAAACTATACGTATAAACTAATCACAACCCTTGTAAATAAAATCGTTAGACCAAGTTATATTATTATATGTTTTTAAAAAATAAAATTTAGGTTAAACTAAGGTTGATAGTAATTATATATTTGGATGAATTTGGGGGTAAAATTGAAAGATTCAAAAGTTTGGGGACCAAATTAAAATGATGGTCATAGTTTGGGGGTGAAAGTGGAATATTCAAAAGTTTAAGGACTAGCTTACAATGAGAGTCATAATTTAGGGATGAAATTAAAATATTCAAAAAGTTCAGGACCAATTTAAAATGAGTTTCATAATTTAAGGACATATGATACAATTAACTCTGAACTATATATTCTACACCTAACATTATGAATAAAATAAAATTATGGCATAGACAATTAAATATTTAAATGAAATTAAAATAATTTTACATCAGTTTCCTTGTTTAAATAGGATCTTTATTTTTTAAAATTATTGGCACGAGTTAGGAATTGAAGAACTTATTAAAATAGTTGGGCAAGCTCATAATATCAAATGATTAATTAATGGGTTGGTTTGAGTGGTGAGTAATTTAATATCGCTTAAGTAAGTTTCGGGTTTGAGTCATTGTGTATAAAAAAATCCTTACCGAGAGACCTACTCATCAAAATTAAATGTACGATCCGAGTCGATATAGATTAATCATAATCAAACCTTAAAAACCGGGACAACCAACAAAATGATAAGAGGAAAAGACAAGCAAGTTATATAACACTCACTATTTTAAAAAACGTTAACCACAAGTGGGATCACCATGAAAACAAGAGGAAAGTAAAGCACACAATGAAGATAAAGGAAAATAAAGCAAAACAGTTGTTTAAATTTTAATCCAAGATACCAGCCTTCTTATAACTCTCAATGGAATCCACAAGATTTTTTCCAAGGGCCTAAAACTCCACCCCAGCCTCTGTAATTTTTCTGAACTAAGCAGTTCTTCCTTCCCTCCCTCGGTAAAGCTGTCAATCCGCAAGTGATTTAGATCACAAATAAAAGAACAAGAAGATCATACACAGCAAAACAACATATTAATTCCTAAAGGCACTACAACAAAACTGGCTTTTTGCGGCCTTTTTTTACCTATAGCAGCGTTTATAAGCGCCGAAAAACACTTGCGGCGTTATGACAAACGCCGCAAAAAGCGCCGTTGAAAATAGTGTTGCTAAAGTTTGCGGCGTTTGTGAACCAAAAACGCTGCAATATGTAACGATATATAGCGGCTTTCAACAAACGCCGCAACAGGTGTTAATATTTAGACAAACGCCGCAATAAGTTTTGACATTTAGCGACATTTGTACAAACGTCGCAATAGGTTTTGACATTAAGCGACGTTTGTCTTACAAACGCTGCAATAGGATTTGGTATATAGCGATATTTTTAGGATAAAAACGCAGATAAAGATCTGGTATATAGCGGCGTTTTTAGGATACAAACGTCGGTGATGGTCTAGTATATAGCGGCGTTTTGAGAACACAGACGTCGCTAAAGGTTGGTATATAGCGGCGTTTGTAACAAAAAACGCCGCTATAGATGTTAATATTCTGCGGCGTTTTTTAAAACAAACGCCGTTAAATATATGATATATTGCGACATTTTTTGTAACAAACGCCGCTAAATAACACAGAATTTAACCAATTAAAAAATTATTGTCGATTACCCCAAATCTGTTTTTTCAACCTGTTCCATTATCCAACAAACATAACAGCAATAACATCAAACTCTATTTCCATAACAAGCAACATCAAATCAATATAATAAATAAAAGTTTTCATTAACATAATATAAGTTCAGTTAAATATGGTTCAGTAACAATAACATAATCCTGATAACATAAATGAGACTATGATGGTGGATTTTAAGGTTGAGTTTTCTGTATCATAGTAGTCGTTTTTCAAATTCTTCACATCTCTGCTAATATGTTTCTTCTCTTTGTGCTGCCGCTGCTTCCCTTGCTTCATTTTCCGCTTTCATGTTAGCCATTTGTTGATCCATCTCAGCCAACTGTTGTTTTAAACGACTAACTTCTAATTGGTAAGATTGAGATTGTGATGACATGAACTGTGATGAACTGGATCTGAAATATTTGGTGGGAGTAACAAATGATCCTTGACAACGCACCCGGCCATATCTTTCAGGACCCAAAACGTCATTAATAGCTCAGTTTTCAATGTCATCATCATTAACAATACTGTGACTCGAACCAGTAGCATGATACTTCGCCCTTTTCTCCTTCAATTTTTCCTAATAATAAGGTGAATAATTAATTAAAATAAAAAATGTCATGGTATAAATATAAATAAAGTCAGGTAAATTTAAAACATGTACCCAATAAACGTACAATAATTTCTGCAGCTTCAGCAGTCATAGGAGTTCCATCATTCTTCTTATGTGTCATGTCGAATAGTTGTATTCGGCCAACTTTAGAACAGATGTATTTTCCTACAAAATATAATAATATAATTACTATGAGTTAGTATGTACATGGAATACAAAAAACAATATCAATAATCTATAATACCTCCTCACTAGCTATACAAACAAAACTCTTTGATCCAGCCGTGTGCATAACTTTTGATGTTGCCTGCTAGCAACACTAATATGCTCTCGGTCCTACAATGTCAAACAACCACTTTTAATGATGATTTATAATTCGTTACAATTATTTTTGAAAAATACATCATACCTGTCCTTTTTGTGAACTCCAAAATCTGATTGCATCTTCCCATTGGTACCTGAGCATTCCAGGTGAGACTGTTTGTAGCTTCTCTTCAAGGCTGAGATCATTCTTGAAGTATTTATTCTTTAAGGAACTCTTGTGGTCCCTCCATCTCTTCCCTAACGCTTGCTTCACATAATCGTCAGAGACCTCTAAAGAACATTTCTCCTATACAGCAAATAAGTGTGCACCATAAGTATACGTTAGTATTGAATTTCTATAGAGTATATACTAATAATGACATTATTACCTTAATAAAATCCAACGCCTGATGTTTGTTACTATTAGGCATTTCGCGCCATAACTCATAATTGATCAGTAATAGATTCACATTACGTCCAACTATGCCTAAGTAACATGCTAGAAGACGTGATTCTGGGCCAATAGGTTGACCAGCATCGTTTCTTGAAACTTTGACACGATGCCCAGGAGGAAGTTGATATAATTCCTTCAAAGTTGTACGTCCTCGAGTCTTGCGCGTTCCAGCATTTTCAACTATATAAGAAATTATTAAATGTCAGTTTTGAAAATGAACAAAGTAGTAAATAAAGTTTCGAAGATTACCTTGGATTTTTACTTTTTCTTTAACAGTTTCAGGAACTTCGGAAGACTCAGGTGCATTTGATTCCTCGTTATTTCTCCATGATCTTCAGAAGCTCAAACAACCTGCAAATCAGTTATTTTTCTCCTCGACATGATATATGCAATAAACAAACATGTGTAATAAAAAATGAATTAATTAATATATTCAAAGACAACATGTTAAAGGTTATAACATTATAAATAAATAAAGATATAAAGATATAAACTCGTACGACATTCTTATGTAATGTCAGTTGTCATAAATATCTTCATCAACGTCCTCTCGAACACATTGAAATTGTGTTGTATTTATGATAATTTCATCTAAGTTTTGTGGTAGTAGAGGTAAACATTCTGATCTTGTTTCAATTTCATCTCTACTTCCATCTCCGATGTCGATTACGTCTCTGGGAGTATTTCGAAACACAACATATCAACCGTCATCCATTGGATCGTGAGAATAAAATACTTGTTTCACTTGAGAAGAAAATACATATGGTTCATCCATCAAACATTGACCCGTATGAATTAATCGAGAGAAATTCACCATTGTAAACCCGAATTTATCTCTTTTTATGCATCTGTTTACATCAACCCAGTCACACCGAAATAACGCAACCTTTCGTTTTCCATAATAATCTAACTAATTAATGTCCGTAAGATTTCCATAATAATTGACCTCTCCCTCCTACGGATTATTGTCCCTGACAGTAGCATAACTTGTAGTTTACAAAGTAACTACGACTCCACAATTTTGTGTCCTCCTTAATCTTTCACGAGATTTCGTGTGGAACCTGAACCCATTAATGAGGAATGAGTTATATCTTTTAACTATTCTATTCGGACCTTGAGAAAGCCATTTAACATCTTCACTAACTTCTTTCCCACTCCAAACCTATTACACATGAATGGTGAATAATTTGCATTGATGTTGATATAAAAGAAAGATATATATTATGTATAAGTATTTCGTAAGATTTAATTGCTTACCATCTGGCCTAATCATTCATGAAAAGTTTTTGTGAATAACTTATGTAGCTCTCGCTGATTTAATCTTCGAGACCGTGCACGAGATCTCAAGACTTCTTTAAACTCACTATAAAGTATATTATGTCTTTAAAAATTGATATATATAAAATATTAAGAGATTTCATATAGCTTGGGTTCGAAAGACTTACGTTCTCATATGATCTATTAAATCGTGATGGAAAAGAACATATCGGTGTGCTTGTACCCAAGACGTGTCATCTAAGTGTGCAATTTCAACTTTCCCTAATGGTTGACCATAACTTCCAAACAAATAATGTTAAGGTAAGTCATCAGTACTTAACACATCATTTCGATTTGGTCTATTCCATCTTGTTTCAACATCTTCCAAATATCTAGAGCAAAATGGCATACATTCCTCTGCCAAATACCCTTCAGCAATTGATCCTTCTGGATAACGCTTATTACGACAATAAGACTTTAACTTGCCCAAGAACCTATACACAAAACAACATACTACATAAATACATTTTATTAAAAGGTATAACCAGTAGTAATTTGAAATGTGTAATTCAATTAACACCTCTCTATAGGGTACATCCATCGATAGAAAACTGGTGCACCAACTCTTGCTTCGTGAGGAAGATAAATTAGCAGATGCACCATAATTGTGAAGAATAAAGGCGGAAATATCTTCTCCAAGTTGTATAAAGTCAAGGCAACTCGATCTTATAGTTTATCAAGTTCTTCAACCATTAGAACTTTCCCACAGATGGCTTTCATTATATTAGAAAGTTCAATGATAGAAGACGTCACCTTACTCGACATGCAACCGCGAACAGCTACTGGCAGTAAATCTTGCAATAATATGTGATAATCATGTGACTTTAAACCATAAAGTCTTCGATCTTTAACACTGACACGTCGAGAAATGTTTGATGCATACCCATCTGGGACCTTTATATCATTCAACACCGTGCAAAACACTTCTTTTTCTTTTTTCGAAAGAGAAAAAATAGAAGCTGATAAGAAATATCTTCATTCGGATGTAATTGTGGATGAAGATCATGTCGAATTCCCATCTCCACTAAGTCAAGTCGACTCTTAAGATTATCTTTAGATTTTCTGGCATCATTCAGAATGGTCCCGATAATATTCTGACAAACATTCTTCTCAATATGCATTACATCAAGATTATGTCTCAAAATATGCTTTTTCCAATAAGGCAACTCGAATAATATACTTCTCTTTTTCCACAAGTCTACCTCATTTGGATCATCATCTTCATCAGACTCATCGTCAGTTTGTTCGTCAACTTCAACCTCTTCATTGGCCTGCTTTGCCTTTTTCTTTGATCGTGTACTACTTGGTTGATTCATCTTTCCATAAGTAAAATTGTTATTTTTCAACATTCTGAATATTTCAGAGGCGGTTTTTGCTCAGGAGCATTTCGAAACTCTTCATCACCATCAAACATATTCTTTTGACATCTAAATCTATGATTATCAGGTAACCACCGACGATGTCTCATATAAGAGAACTTCTTTCCATTAACCAACCACTTCGAACATGTTTGTGCAGCACAACAAGGACAAGCATAACGACATTTGGTACTCCAACCAGATAAATTTGCATACGCAGGAAAATCATTAATTGTCCATAATAAAGTCGCGCGTAAATTAAAGTTCTCCTTCATCAACACATCGTACGTTTCGACCTCTTCTCATAACTGTTTCAACTCTGAAATTAGTGGCTGCATGTAAATATCAATATTATTTCCGGGGCCTTTCTCTCCAGGATTATCATGGATAAGATGAAAGATGATTGTTTCATGCAAATCCAGAGAGGCAAATTGTATGGAACAAGTACAACATGCCAAGTACTATACGAAGTACTCATGATTTTGAATGGATTAAACCCATCAGTTGCAAGACCGAGCCTGACATTTTGAGGATCTCTCGCAAAACTTGGATACTTATTGTCAAATGACTTCCAAGCTAAAGAATCCGCAGGATGCCGCAATAATCCATCATCGGTTTTTTCATCATGATGCCACCTCATAGACTCACAGTCTTGGAGGACATAAACAATATTTGTAGCCTAGGTATGAGAGGAAAATATCGGAGAATCTTGATCAGTTTCTTTCTTAATGGTGCTTGAGCTTCATCCTCAGTAACATTTTCTGCCTCCCTACTCATCCATCGAGATTTTCCGCATACATGACAAGACTCCTGATTTTTTCTATCACCCCAATACAATATACAATCATTCGGACAACTATGAATTTTGTCATATCCAAGACCCAAATCTTTTATCATTTTCTTCATATTTTTGCATGATTGAGAGATTTTTGCAAAAGGAAACACTTCTCCTATTAACTCCAATAATTGCGTAAAGGAATTCCCAGTCCACCCTCCCAGGCATTTTAAGTGGAAAAGACGAATGCAGAAAGAAAGCTTTGAAAACTTTGATCCGTCATAAAGTTGTTCATTCATTTCATTCAACAGCTTGTAAAACTTTGCCGCTTCTCCATTTGGCTCTTCTCGCATTCAATTCTTCCCATCTCAATGGATTCATTAACATCATTCTGCCAATAATTTTTTGTAACATACGGCTGACTATTGTGCATATTAAATGCATCTCATAACATTTCTTCCATGTCATCTTCTCTAAAAGTTGGATGGTGAGAATGAGCAAGATAAGTCGAATAATTCGTGGAAGCATATCTATCGATAGAAACTCTCCATGGAATATCCATTTTTTATACCCCGAACAAATCTAAAATCAACTAGATGCTCGTACACAACTTCACGAATGTGCCAGTTAATGTTAACACAGTTCTTACAAGGGCAAGGAATCATATTCTCTTGGCTTGCATTCAGAAAAGCTAAATTTAGAAAGTTTTCGACTCCATTTCGTTATTCGACGCTCACTCTTGAGAAATCCATCCAAGTCTTATCCATTTCCTATTTCTGGAGTTTCAATTTCAAATGTTAAATGCTAATATTATAGAAAAAGTTAGAACCTAAACATAAGCATTAAACTATCAATTTAGTGCATACTAATATTTGCATAGTATAGAACTAATCACTCCTAAATTATGACTTTTAAAATTAGAAAATGTTATGGGAGAAATTGTATCTATATTATTTTATAAAAATTATAAGGGTGCATATAAGAAATACATAGTATAGAACTAATCACTTTCACAGATGTTTCATCGAAATCAATATGCATTTATATCTAAACAAACTCATGTTTCATTCTTAAAGAGAGAAGATTACCTTTGTTTCCTGAGAAAAATGTTCCTCACGAATTAAATTCGAACTGCTCAACTCAATTAACACCTATAGAGAGAATTCAAACCAATGAAAGTGTATAACAAAATATGCAAGAAAATATCGACATTCATGTTATGCAAAAAAAGCCAAAAAAATGGTTTATTTTATTGCAACATCAGATTTCTTATTGAGAGGGTAGAGCCAATTATATTTTGTGAAATGATCAACAAAAATAATATAAAACAAGTACCCATCAATAGAGCGTTGCTTAATACTCTAGACATCAAAATACAATAACTCAAGCGGACAAGAACTAATAAGAGAATTTTGAGCAAACAACAATTTATGGCTTTCTTTATATAACAAGAAGAACAACAAATCTATTTTAACAAGGAAAAATTAACCTTCATATCACAAGACTAATTTGGCTTGATCATGTTCCACAAAATAACCCGCCCATCCATTTCAAAGGGATTCCTACATTGTGCATTTCCTTTCTCCGCATCTGATTATTCTTACCATCAAACAAGCTTAAGATCTCTTAGTTGCATTAACACATTTGATGTTTTGCGTATCTCATCCTATTTGCTACTAAATGATATTGTACCAGATCAAGAAATAAATTGGGTGCATCACTCACTCACTCAAGAAGAGACCCTATTATAGATAAACATAATGGACAAGACTTGGGGAGCCAGATTAGGATAAAAGGAATAGATATCTATTGGTGAAAACACTTAGCGTGCACAACAGCCTCACATAAGATAAATTAACACCTTTGGATTAAAGCTTGTGGACATCAGAAATAACTACAATCAGATTTCTACTACAAAGATCAACATGTCCCTTCATCAAATCGTGCAACAATTAATTGGTGTGCGTTTTTAATCACTGTTGTCATAACTACCTATCCGTATGCTATTCCAACTGTCGAGAAAGCATCTGAAATCCAAAATATTAATCGACTTATGTCCAGTACGTCATAGCATTAAATGTATGTCATTATGTTAGTAACTCTGTTGAGATGCTGGAGGCATACTACAATCAAAAAGGAAAACTTTAGTAAATGAATTTGTTTCCAAGAACAATACAGCTTTAAAACCTAGAATGAATATCATTTCTGCATGCTATGCCTACAGCTAAAATTTACATGATAGTTCCTGCTAGATACGGTTAAGATTCCTAATTTCATAATATTTTTCCATGAAAAGAGTGCAGAATACGTCTGCAAATACCATATTACATTTGATACAAGTCATTGATATGAGACATGGCAGTGTGGTGGGGGTACCACTATCAATTATCCAAGAAGATAAGGCCTTACCGAGCATGGAAACTATCATGCAAAAACTACAATAAAAAATACTTTTGTTCATTTTCAATTCAATTCGGATTTTTCTAAAGAAAAAGAATTCTGATATCGAACTAATATCTCCTATGAATTAGATTTTTAGAAGATTATTAACAAAAAAAAGCCCTTCAAATTTTCAATCTAAAATTGGAGGGATGTAATATATTCCTATTGTCAGCTTTTGAGACATTTTCTATTTAGATTTTAGATTCGAATTAACGAGTAGTAACAAACAAAGAAGCGTGTGACATATTGATATCCATACAAATATACACTTTAGCAAGTGCTACGTGTATTACTAGTAACTAGTAATGCCTTTTCGTTATCGCCAAATAAATCGGGTAATGATCAGTTTTAAAATGAAGAGTAAGAGATGAAGGAAACCATTCCAATTTCAAACATCTCAATGCAGCAACTTTAAATCATTAGCATATATACTCAGCTAATCTAAAGGGTGGTGGGAGAAGGGTGATGACTGAGGAGACTATTGAAAACCAGTAAGGGAATTGTTTGATACAAAAATACCAAATATTTCCAATAATTTACTCCTAATAACATAAAGGCAGAGAAAGTAAAATGGATTCTTGCTCAAATAAGTCAACTAAAATCACTAATTCAAAAGCTTTTCCATGCATGCAAATCCCACAACTTCAATTCCCAATAAAGAGCTCAAAGTTGAACCAAAATAAAAAAAAATAAGAACCCATCAGTCAGCTATGGATTCCAACCCACCGTCCCATGCTCAAAATCCAATCAATTCCAAAGCCTTATAACCTTATAGGCACAACAAAATCATTCTAAGCATATATAGAAAGATACATACATAGATAAGAAGTACTACATAGATAACGACCTTCCACCTACAGTATGAAACTTGATTGGAGGTGGCTTTGGAACTGAAGCAAACATTAAATAAATTTAAATAGAAGATAGAAACGTTTACTTGGAGTATCAGTAGAGCCAACGTCGTCTTCATTGAGGATAGATATTGCTTTTGCAATTGAAGATTCTTTCAACACCACTGAGTTACCAATTTCGGTTCTAAACATCGGGTATTTATCCACTCCTCTATCATCGTTCTCAATAAGCTTTGAACATCCTACATGCGTGTGATCTATGAAATTTTAGAGTACAAAATAAAAATATAGTGGCATAAAATTTCAGCGATTAATTATTACCTTCACTGAGTAGATTAGCCATAGAAGGGTATTTTACAATAGGAGGGCCTTTCGGGTCATCATCGAGTTTCGACGGCAAGTTCGGACTGATAGCCTCCCAATGATAATTTGATCCATCGTCATAGCAAAGACGCCACGTGGACATTCCGACTATATTTTCTGTTACTGAATAACTTATCCTGCTCTTCCTATAGATATTCACGTTTTCAGAAGCTATTATTTTCCTATTCGAAAGAAATTATTTTTCTATTCGAAAGCAAAAAAAACACTTCTCCCAAGCAGTAAACCAGTAAAACAATATGTATAGATATTCTTTTCCTATTCGAAAGCTATTATATTTCTCCATTACGTTAGCTTTCTGGGTTTTCCCTATTTTCAAAATACCAACAAAAAATAAATGAAAAAGTTCAGTAGTGAGAGAAGGGATCAAACCGTGCAATCATGAGATAATTGTTCGCTAGTGAGAGGGCAAATTTGGTCGCCGGGACATACAAAAGACGACGTCGACTGCAATTGTGTGAGGTTCGTTGTTCTATGAGAGAATTCCTTTTAGGGAAGCAGTGCTGAAATGATTTTAGGGATTGGGCAGGAGAAAAGTGTGGAGCATATATTGACCCTTTTGCGGTGTTTTTAAAAAAATGCCACTGTAGTTCATATTTTTGTGGCGTTTTTCGCACAAACGCCACTATAAACAATACTATTGCGGCGTTTGTTTAGTAAACGCAAATTACTTCTCTATAGCATCGTTTGTTGAACAAACGCCATTATAAACAACACTATAGCAGTGTTTTTGTAAACAAACGCTGCTAAATTACCACTCTATTGTGGCGTTTGTTGAAAAAAACGCCACTATAAACATCTCTATTGCGGCGTTTGAGCTATAAATGCCGCTAAATTACCCTCTATTACGGCGTTTATTTAAAAAACGCCGCTAAAGTATCATTTTGTGGCGTTTGTATTGTAAACGTCGCGATATGCTTAAATTTTGTGGCGTTTGCCCTTAAAACGCCGCTACATAACACTTTTGATGTAGTTAGGGTTAGACTTACGGTTGTAAATGAACATAGAGTTCGACGAATTATTCGTGAATCATTCGTTTAACGTTCGTTTATGTCATTCATTAAGCTAAATAAATGAGTATGAACAAAAAAAATTATGTTCATTTAATAAACGAACACGAACAAAGGTGTGTTTGGTTCGTTTATGTTCACGAACAAACTCGTTTATTGATTTGTTCATTTATGTTCATGAACAGCTCGTTTACCTAGTTCTCTTTTTTCTTTTATTTTTTTACATTTTAAATATTTGTGAAGGTAGAGACTAAATTAAACACATGGTAAAAGTTGAAATTTAAATTGAAAATTTTAAGGAGTTTAAGCACTGATAGTGTAATTTTACCATTTTCTTTAACTTGCTGATAAAAGACAAACTAAAAATTGAATATATAAACGAACGATAAACGACGCTAAACGAACATGTTCGTGAACACTAAATAAATATATTCATTAACATATAAACAAACATGTTCGTGAACAATAAACAAATGAACACAAACACGTTCAAAAATAAATAAATGAACATGAACACAAATTTAAAAATTTAAACCAACACGAACCGAATATGAATATCTTCAAAAATAAACGAACGAACAAGAACATAACCTTACTTATTCAAGCTCGGTTCATTTACGCCCCTACAGTTAGACTAGAAGACGCTTTAGGTTCTGCTACAGCCAAAAGATCTTACCTTTTAGGATAATTGTATTGAGGAAACATACTTCTCAACTTATCAGCAAGGTCGCGTGCTTTGATCATGTGAGCCGTGCATAGGTACCTTCCTTCAGCCTGCGGCTTCTCATACGCCAGAAGCAATGCCCGAGCCACATCGCGCACATCGACGATACTCCGATCATTGTTTTCCTGAGAGTCATATCCTTCTGTGCATCAACACAATACAATGGAAAACCAAATAGAATCAGAATAGAAATGGACAGGAAATTAACATGTAGGCATGCATGGCGGGAGTTGACACAACACAACCTTTCAAAGTTTTAATGAGAACCAAGCTACTTGTGTTGATGGTGGGCTGTAGAAGTGGCCCCAATATCAAAGTGGGACAAACAGAAACAACATCAAGGCCGGAGCTTTTGGCAAACTCAAAAGCCTCACTCTCTGCTTCTGTTTTTGAAAGGAAATACCAATTCTGGAACAAACAGTTAAACAAGACATTTGCTTGTTAACAGTGAAAAGGAATGTCAGGAAATATCACACTCGTGTCATGAGTCACATACTTTTGTTGATGCGCAATATTCCTTGTCGGACCAACATGTTTCATCCATGATCTGACCCTCGGGCCACCTAGGGTTCAAGAGAATAGCAGCAATAGAGGACACGAAAACAACTCGTTTAACATTGGCTTCAAGACATGCTTTAAGCACATTAAGTGTGCCTTTTACCGCCGGTTCAATCAACTCAACCTGTAAACCAAAAGTCTTTGGGTGATTGTGAACAACCGTATGGAAAAATACCTACATATCTATGATTTCAATATTAAATCGAATAGTCCAAGTCAAATCCATAACTAAAACTATAGCTAGCTACCTGGGGGCAGAGCCAAAGTAGACGTCCGTCGGATGGATGTTGTTGTTAAGGCTGTAAAAAAAATGAGACATTATGAGCTATTCGAATTCGACTAGATTAAAGTTTGATCATCATTCAAATTGAATGGACTCGACTCAAGGTTAAACTCAACTCAAATTCCTAAATAAATTATGTATGAGCTGTATAACTTATTGATAATATTATTATTTATGAGCTCAAACAAAATAAGATACGAACTCATACAATATTATGAGCCCAAACTCAAGTTCTTATTGATAAGTTTGGTTATCATTCCGTATCTTATGTACATAATATTGTTGTATGAGCTCAAACTCAAGTTCTTAAATTCAACCATCCATTAATCACTTATGAGTTATATATCTTGATATCCCACTCGAAAAAGTTCACAAGTAGCTCGAAAAAAATAAGATATTAATTTTTTAGTTTTTTAAATTAAATTATTGATAACATTAGCATTTATATGTTGTTTTAAAAAAATATGTATATAATATAAGACTTTCATGTACTTAAAACTCAGGTTCGAACTAGAGTTTTAGCTTTAATCAAGTTAATTCTAAGAATGTTTCGAGTTTAAGTTTTTTCAAGCTTGAGTGGAGCTTCGATTTTTTTATTTCAACTTGAGCTTGAAAATTTTAAGCTCGTAACTTTCGAGTTCAAGTCAAGATTCAAATTTTGATTTCAAATTCAAGTCAAACTTAGCAATTTTAAGCTACGAGCTTTCGAGTTGAGATCAGAGCTCAACAATTCTTGAGCTCGCTTCATTTTACAACCCTAACTGATGTAGTGGAAGTAGGAATACCAGATATATTTAGGGTTATCTTTTTTCATTTTAATTGGTCGAACGCCGCATGTTTTGGCTCTCAATATGCCGCAGAAAAAGCTCAATGGCTCTATTAACAGTAGTAAAAAGTTAAAAAAAAATTAAAGGAAAAGTAGTTAATGAACGAAGAAATTGAGGGTAGGGTTTAGTATTGCCTGTGGATCAGGAACGGCGGGGAGGGGACGGGAGAGGCAACGTGGAAGACACCGGCGCAGCCCGCAATGGCTGAACAAAGAGAATCGTAATCCAATAAATCCGCCTTGACGAGTTTGAGGTTGTCGGATGCTTTCTCAAGCTGATTCAATTGTGCATATTTGGCATCCCCTGGCAAAACTCCAACAAATCAAAATGATAAAGAAATGCAAATACAATGTGCGGTATAGTTGAGTCAGTAGTAATAAGTACCAACCAGGTTGCCTGACGGTGCCGTGGACGACGTAGTTTTTAGAGAGAAGGTGCTTCACAACCCAAGACCCAAGGTAGCCTCCGGCTCCGGTCACATACACTTTCCCGGTCGCCTGAGCCATATTCTCTCACTATCTTCTTTAACTTTCTGAACTTTATTCATTACACGATAGAGACGTACATATGTCCATATCCAAGCAGAAAAAATGCGGATAGAATTCTCCTTCCCCTATTCTATGCCCCTGTATATGCCCTACCAATAATATTATGACACGTGCATTAATATTAATCAGTAACTTAACGGTAAATTATCCTTAACTTTCTTTGTAGAACAAAGTCAACCAGTTAAGTAATTTAAAAAAATCATTTAATTTATCTTTTTTTCTAAACTATTTATTTTGTCTATAATTAAATTTCATTTTTTTTTAAATTTCAAATAATTCATTCGGTTAATTTTAAGTTTTTCTTTTTTTCATGTTGAATTTAGATTTTATATTTCTTCTTAATTTTATCCAAACCATAAACCTTAAACCAAAATTTCAAACCTTAAATCCTAAATCCTAGAACCTAAACCGTAAATTCCAAAATCTAAATTTCAAGCCATAAACCTCACACTCCAAACTGTAAACCTCAAATATTAAATTATAAACTATAAACTCTAAATTCAAACCTTAAATTCTAAATCTTAAACTTTAAACATAAACCCTTATTTTATTAAAATAAAAATCAAAAAAATAAAAACTTAATTCAACATGAAAAAAATAAAGTTAACCAAATGAATTATTTTAAATTTTCAAAAATTCAAATTTAATTATAGACAAAATAAATAATATAAAGATAAATTAAATGAATTTTTTTTTAAATTACTAAATTGGTTGACTTTGTTTTACTAAGAAAATAAAAAAATAAATGAAAAGGTAAAAAGAAAAGGAGAAAATTAATGAAAAACTGCAGTTA